TTCAGATTGACTATTTTTTCCAATTTCCTCATATAAGACTATGTAGTTAAAATAAAAGACTATGCAATGTTTGTCTTTTGATCTTTTAGAAGCAGGGAATACATTGCTTTCTCCAAAGAGCATTCCCTGATACTCCTCTCCACTCTAAGCTGTTGGGTACCTCCTGTTCCTATTGTGTAATGCTGTATACTTAACTCCTATCACTACATTTCAAATTTTGCCATTCTTTTACAAGTGCCTGTATCTGATTCTTCATCACACTGTGAGCACTTTTAGGGCAAGACACTTTATCTTAACTGTTAGAGCAGTACTCATCACAAAGTTGTTATACCATACATTTATGTTGCACAAGTGAGCTATTAACTTGCTAGCAGTCCATTGTCTTATTATATATGGTAAGAGTTAAAGGCAGTGCCAGTGAAGATGAGAAAAAGATACTGATTTCAATAAATATTTGTAACATAGAATAAAAATGTAATAGTAGATTAAGTGTGGAAAGAGAGATTTGAGGCACGGAAACTGTAACTGCTAGTTATGCCATTCTCTAAAATAGAAATTCCAGGGGGTGGAAGCAGGTGAAGAGCCATGGGTAAATTCACTCTGAGGCATGCTAGTTTTTAAAAGGGCTTGATTAATAATGCTGTATCGTCCACTTGCAATTTGAAAAGAGCGGGTTTCAAGTATCCCAAGTCCCCTCCTCCCACACATATACAAACAAATAGTAAACTATGGGTGGTGATGAATGTGTTACTTTGACTGCGGTAATCATTACATAGTGTAAACCTATATCAAATCATCACATTGTACTCCTTAAATACATATAATTTTTCTTTGTCATTAGACATTTTGTAAAAGGCTTGGGCTATATCCAGAATTATAAGGATTATTTACAAAGTTTATGAAAAAATTAAAGGATTTTTATTTTGGTGCAACAATTTTTTTAGTTCCATATGTTTTTTTCACAAGATGCATTCTTCCATAGACTTTTTGAAGACACCTTGGAAATAATAGTTAAAAGTGTGGATTAGAGCTTGAGAGAGGTCAGAGCAGAAAAACAGATTTGGAGTTATCTACCTATGAATGATGTGTGAAACCGTTGAATAGATTTTCATACAATAAAAATGAGTAGGAAGCATTTAGGGATGGTTTCATGAATGAGATGGCATTTGAACTCATGTGTTTGCAAAAGCACAGAAAGGCACAGTGAGTAGGGAGAATTATTTTATTTGCTTCAGTGATTGGTAATCTTCTAATTTCTTTGATGGTTTTTCTGTTTTAATTATTGCACAGATGGTTTCTGCTTTCTTAACCACACAATTAGCTAGTATTTCAGTTCTGAAGATCTTATGGATTGATGCCTGTTTTGATATATTTTTTTCTTCTGGGCCAAATTCCAGATATTGACTTTTTATCTTGTTAGGTATCCTCTTCCTTATTGTCATTTTACTATTTATGCCCTCATATCTTTGAACCAAGAACTGAATAACTGTTGTGATTTGTTGATTTAGAAATCTTAGTTCTCAAAATGTTCTGTCTAGCTTCAGTGATTCTCATGATCAGCTTGGTCATTTTGTCCCTGTAACTGGGAACTCCTATCATGTTCCTCCTCAATTTAGTATTTATGAGGCTCAGCAAAGCCCTCAACTAAATCCTAAATGCAGTTAATCTTTAATGGCTTCCTCAGGTTTATGTGGAAGGGGTGGGCAGGAGGATGCTTTAATGTCCCTGGCAGCACTGTTTCATTTTGTTGTTTTCCATTACTTGAATGTCATCTAATTTTTATATTAATCTTTATAGTACAAAGACCAAGACTGAGTCCCAAATCAATATTCCTTTCTTCATTGTTCTCCCAGTTAGGCCAAATGTATGACAGTAAGTCAAGTGTCTGAGGGGAAAACAAATCTTACTACTTGCTTAAACATGTCTTGGCTTGAACAGCTTTGCTTAGGCCTAGAGACTTAGTACTTCAGAGTACTAGGTGAGAGTGAGACTATCAGGTGAGTCCTATTATTATCATCTACCAGACTGAGACTGGGCATATGTGACCATCACCCCAGTATCTGCAGAAATAATATTTTCTCTGTGCCAGTATCTCTTTACTTTTTCCCACCAAGTAAAAGCATAAAGATGCAAGAGTTAACAGTGGCATGCTTGACTGTGATTCTTTTGCTGGGAATTGGGAGCTTATCAGAATCTCCAGGGGTACTTACAATTTGAAAAAGTCCCCCAGGTGTGATTCTGATTTGCTTCCTTCTCCTCCTTCTCCTCCTCTTTTGAGAATCACTGTTTCATCAGAAGCTTCAGGATAAATAGGCACACTTATTACTAGCTTATCCTTGCATAATAGAGCTCCTTAATTAACACAACTTCATATTCCTTTTTTTAGAAACCTTTTAAACATTTCCTTGAAAGTGTGTGAGTGACTGTGCAGGCTCCCGTCCACTAGTTCACTCCCCAGGTGTCCACAATAGCCAGGGCTGGGCCAGGTTGAATCTGGGGATGCAACCCAAGACTCCCACGTGGGTGACTGGAACCCATATAACTTCATCCATCACCTGTTGCCTCCTAGGTTTGCATTATCAGGAGGCTGGAGTCAGGAACTGGAACCAGGAAAGAAGCCCAGGCCCTCTGATGTAGGATGTGGGTGTCTTAACCACTAGGCTGTAGTTGAGCCCTAGGAGTTCTTTCTAATACCAGAACTTCTGAAATCAAGGTCTCCCTGACACCAAAGGTATAGTCATCATCAAAACAGCCCTGTCAGTGTTTGAAAGCCTGCACAGCAAGATCTCCACAACCCTGAGGGTAAGGATTAGTTATGTGGTTTATTTAGGTGGGAGTTCTCTGCAGATACTTACATTCAAATTAGGATGTATCTATCCTCCAAAAGTTTTACTCTCACATTTTATGGTGAAATGCTTAAATTCATGCAAAAGTTGAAAGAATTTCTAAATGAACCCATGTCTATCTACTGCTTAGATTCTACAATTAACATTTTAATATACTTGCTTTTTCAGATATCTACCCAAATATTTATTCCTATATCCATTTAGTAGTTCATCTTTTTTAATGCATTTCTTGTTAATTTGCAGATGTTGGTAAAATTTCCCCTGAATACCTCAGCATGTATGTCATTAACTGGATTTACTATGTCTTCAGTGTTTTTCTCCAATACAAAATTTACATACAGTGAAGTTTCCAAATCTTAATAGCTGAGTTTCAATAAGTGATAGGTGCATAAAACCCAAACCCCTGTCAAGATATAAAATATTTTAAAAAAACACTCCCTTTTTTCTGCCCAAATTATTCTGTCTTCTCTTTGTGTGTGTGTGTGTGTGTATATATATATTATATGTCTTCTCTTTGTAATTCTCAGAATTACAGGTAAGAAAAAGCCTTATCAGTGCTTACAGGATAAATAGGGATCAATGTTGAGTGACAGATCAGATTTCTTCTCTCCTTTGCCTGAAGTATGTTGTTTCAAGTTGTATATGAATGTTTTAAAACAAGAGGCTGGATGAATAACTTATCTTTTCAATTTTAAAATAATTATTTTGGAAAATAGAGATGTAAATATTTTATTAAGAATTTCACAAGGAAGGAGTTCTAGACTGATGAATTGTGAGAAAGTATGGATAAAAACAGAAGTAAGGGTGAGAAAGAAATTGAAGATGAGAAAACTCACATAGAATTTAATGTCATTATGAGTAGTTTATTAAAATTTGGTTAATTGGTTAAAATATATATTATATACATAGAATGTCACTAGACATCATTGTCCTGATAACAATAGTATACCATTTATTAAAAAATGCCAGCATATATTATAACCTACTTTTAAGAAAAATTAATTTCATCTCTTTTGATCTTGGTTATCAGTCACTTTTTCAGATTCTTATGCCAGGCAGATATCACTTATTTGGCTTATTTTTAGAATAATTGAACGTATTTTAATTTAGACCAATATATTTTTAAAATAGTGTCTTTCAAATTATTTGCATTTTATGAGAATAAACATTTCAGTATATTTCTGCTAAAATAATTTTGATCCCCAAAGCTGTGACAAAAGTAAATTGATATTTCCATAATAAAAAGATATAGCAAACACAGTCATTTGCATATAGTTCCTGAAATATTGCATACTGGCTTTGTCAGTGCTGGTAAGTCCATTTCAAGGATGTCGCCCTTAGTCCATTAGTTTGGATAATGAGCCCTATAAAGTACATTTATAACTTGTGGCACTGCAAGGAGATGGATTCTAATTTTCATCCTTTTATCTAGACACATTGAAAGAAGGTCAATGGAGGGTTCTATATGATTCATTGTCCCAACACATATCAGATGACAGAGACCTGATAATGTCCGTGCATAAGTGTTTCCCTTATTTGGAAACAGCACTTGAAAGAAATCTTTCTATGATCATGCTTTGAAGTAAAGTGGAAACAGATATTAAAAGAAGCTCTATCTTTTTTTTTTTCTGTTTAAAACATTATCAAACGCATGACCAAATAGCTATTCTTGAACAAAAGAGAAAGCAACACTTAACAGAAAAATAAAAAGCCTTTAGTGGCTTTTACAGTCTGTGAATGATATAACAAGGTATTTAATCAACTTTTCTCTTTTCTCAGCACTGTTAAGAAAAAGAGAGTGTGTGCGCATGCTAGCCTCTTTGCTAAACAAAGGAAAAGCTTCTATGTTTCTAAGTATAAGGAAAGCTCATAATTATCCTGTAATACTTATCCTAAATTTACTCTTAATTATTAATGTCATTTAAAATAAATATTTAAGTTATATCTCATAGTTGAAAAGACTTCAGATTAACAGGAATATATATTCTATAATTTAGTGCCAGTATGGTGTCAGAAAATTTGGAATTACAGTTTTTAAACTTTGTCTTTACAACGACTTCTTTTCAGGTTCAAAATTGGTAAGTGACTATGTTCATACCCTAAGTTATTTCTTTATTAACACAAACATTTTTGCTGTGCTTATCTTCCTTATAGATGTAAAGCAATCATTGATCAGTTTGGTCAGAGAATAATGTCTACGCATTTCCTAGTGGAAGATAGTTACCTTTCTGAGAACATGTGCTCACATGTGCAATATAGGTAAGGTACCCTTCCATCCACAAGTCAGGGGAGGGTGGGACTGAGGAAAATTCAGCTGTGGCATTTTTGTATGTTTCTGTTCTTCAAGTAACATGCAAATGTATGCCAAACCAAAGATACCTTCATTATCTTACCACTGTTTTCTTACAGAGTCTGGTTTCGGGGAAGCCTAGCATAATTTCAGCTTCTCTGCTTCAGCTGGGGTTTGTCTGTGGGTAATGCATCCTTCTTTCATGAGCCAAGAAAAGATTAAAGCAGGACTTGACTTGGTTTGGGGAGGTGACACTTTTATTCCTGATTTAAATCTTGGAAACATGCCTTCCGGTGGTTTTATAACTGTAAGTGAAACTTATCCATGGAGTCTGAGTCACTGCTTTACTATTTTGTGCGTTACAGGCAGATCTCCAGGGCAGTCCTGATTACAGATAGATCTGTACTAAAAACAGATTCAGATCAACAGGTAAATTCAGTCCTATTTTTTAAAAATAGAAGGCTGTGTATATTAAGGTGTACAACATGATGTTTTGATAGACTTGTTACATAGGAAATTGATTACTGTAGTCAAGAAAATGATCATATCTGTTTCTTCAGTTACTTTTTTTTGTGGGTGAGAACACTTAACCCATTAAGTTCTAAGTTTTCAATTCTGTGAATATTTCAGTGACATAGTATTTATTTCAGAATTAGTTAAGTGGTATATTTACTGCTCAATTTAAGTCTTTATAGGTGTTACATGTATAGCACAGTGAGAAATAATGGGCTAAGATCTCCTCTGTTAACAAATTTTATGTATATATTATGGTATTATTAACTATAATCTCCACTTTATGCATTTGATCTCCAAAACTTATTCTTCCTGCATATCTGGAAGTTTGTACCATTCAAACAACTCCCATTTCACCCAACCTCCAGCCTCTGACAACTCCCATTCTATGCTCTGCTTCAAGGAACTTGACTTTTAGAGATTCCACATATAAGTGAGTTCATGCAGTATTTTCCTTTCTCTGTCTCTGGCTTACTTCACTTAGGGTGATGTTCTCTAGGTTCATCTGTGTTGTCATAAATAAGATTTTCTTATTTTTTTAAGGCTGAATAATCTTCCACTTGAAAATTTTGAAGCGTGCATGTGCAGACGCAGAGTATCTTCTGTATCCATCCAATGATGAACACTTTAGCTTATTTCCATATCTTGGCTGCAGTGAATAATACTGCAATGGACATGGAAATGCATACGTCTCTTTGAGATGCTGATTTCATTCCTTTTGATGTATACCCATAAGCAGGATTGCTGGATCATATGGCAGTTCTCTTTTTAAATTTTTTGTGGAAACCCCATACTATTTTCCAAAATGGCTGTACCAGTTTAGCAGCCCATCAACAGTATACAACAATCCTCTTTATTCCACATCCTCGTGACTACTTGTTATCTCTTTTCTTTTTTATGATAACCATTCAAAAAATGTGAGGTGATATTAGATTGAGTCCTGTACTTCTTAATAATATTGTTGCTAATCTAATCTATATGCTGATATCTGTAAATCAGTATTGGTGAATTAAATTGTATTAGCCATAGGATTAATACTTTTTAATGCACTTTTAAAAATGCATAATTGCAATAATGTAAATGCCTTTAATTTTTTTAACTTTTATTTAATGAATATAAATTTCCAAAGTACAGCTTATGGATTACAATAGTTTCCCCCCCCCATAACTTTCCTCCACCCACAACCCTCCCCTCTCCCGCTCCCTCTCCCATTCCATTCACATCAAGATTCATTTTCAATTCTCTTTATATACAGAAGATCAGTTTAGCATATATTAAATAAAGCTTTCAACAGTTTGCACCAACACAGAAGCACAAAGTGTAAAATACTGTTTGAGTACTAGTTATAGCATTAAATCACATTGAACAACACATTAAGGACAGAGATCCTACATGAGGAGTAAGTGCACAGTGACTCCTGTTCTGACTTAACAAATTGACACTCTTGTTTATGGCATCAGTAATCACCCTAGGCTCTTGTCATGAGTTGCCAAGGCTATGGAGTAGACAAAGTCATAGTCAAGTGCAAGTCTCTCTCCCTCAGAGAAAAGGTACCTCCTTCTTTGATGACCTGTTCTTTCCACTGGGATCTCACTTGCGGAGATCTTTCATTTAGGTTTTGATGTTTGTTTTTTTTTGTTTTTTGTTTTTTTTTTTTTGCCAGAGTGTCTTGGCTTTCCATGCCTAAAATACTCTCATGGGCTCTTCAGCCAGATCCGAATGCCTTAAGGGCTGATTCTGAGGCCAGAGTGCTGTTTAGGACATCTGCCGTTATGTGAGTCTGCTGTGTATCTCGCTTCCCATGTTGGATCATTCTCTCCCTTTTTGATTCTATCAGCTAGTATTTGCAGACACTATTCTTGTTTATGTGATCCCTTTGACTCTTAGTCCTATCATTATGATCAATTGTGAACAGAAATTGATCAGAGAATACCTTTTAAAATCTTTGAGAAAAATGCTTTAGAGTAGCCAACCCTATAGCAATCATGCTAAGCCTGCCATTATTAGGCTTGGTGTGAATGAATTTCAAAGCACATTCTCAGTTCTGATATTTCCTCAATAGTATTGTTCATTTCAGTGCCGTATTCCTCCTGCTTACCCCCATTCCCATAGGAATGCCTTCATGCCTCTGATTTTTCCTCACTTTGATCACTTGAATTCTAGGAGTATACCCCATTCTCTTTTTGACCAAATTTTACAGTGCCTGATAAAATCAACTTAATAGGTGTGACTGTCAGATCTACATGCTACTACTAAAAGTAGTCTCCTCAAATATGTAAGTTGGAAGCATTGTGTTATATTAAATAAATATGTGAGGGGATAAAGTCAATTGATGACTCAATATTTTTGTTAACAAATAAACAGTATATACCAGCAGGAAAAAAAACTACCCTCAAATATATTTGTTATATGTATTAGAGTAAATGCCAGTGTTCCTTGACATATCATGGTGTTACATCTCAGTAAACCCACTGTAAGTTGAAAAAAAATCACAATCTAAAAAATCAATTATTTAATACACTTAACCTACAAAACAGGAATCTGCAGCAAACATGGGACTTGGTAGGGTACTGGTTGTTTCTTCTTGTGAATGGAAGACTGAAGTAAGCTCTGGTTTACTGCCACTGCCTAGCATTGCAAGATAGTATTATACTATGTATCACTGGCCTGGGGAAAAGTTAAAATTTAAAATATGAGTTCTATGAATATATCTTGCTTTCATGCCATTGTAAAGTTGGACAGTCCTAAATTGGCAACTATCTACTTTCCTTTAATCATTCATCAAACAATGAGTGGCTTTACCAGCCAGACAGTGAGTGTGGTAGATTCTGAAGAGACAGTGTTAAACCATGTTAGTATCTCTGCCCTCAAATAACTTCCAGTCTAGAGGATATAGATGCAGACAAATCAGCAGCAACTACACTTCGGTGTGATAATTATGAGTGTGGGTGTAGTACAGCAGCTATCCTACCACTTATCACACTGTACAGTAATTGGTGGTTGACATTTCTTTATCTCCCAGTAAACAATAACTTTTGTGAGTGGGTGAGAGTGACTGGGAGGCAGAAAAGTAAAGAGAACAGACAACTCTTTGAAATAGCTAAGCTGTGAAGAGTAAGAGAACGGATTTGGTCCCTAAAGAGGAACGTGGAGATGAACAGGTCTTTTTACTTTACAAAATTAGTATATATTTTAGCTGATGGGATGATTGATGGAGCAAGGTGCAGGCAAAGGCCCAGGAGGATGAGATTCAGAGAACAGGCAAAAGCATTGCCCTTAGATGGAATGAGAGACATGTTGAAAGAAGAGAGTGACTACAGAACCATTTGTAGATTTTCAAGTTCCAATCTGATAGATTCCTTTTACTCTTCAAATTATAATTTGAGATCATCTGCTGAGAATGGAGATGTACAAGTGAGATTGGTTCAAAGTTCAAGGAAATTGTAAACTAATCACTGTGAGTAGTTGGAGAATTATCTATCTTATGATCAGATTGCTGGGCAGGGTTAATGGCCCAGTTTAGTCTGAAAGTCATAAGTCTACAGTAGCCTTAACCTGCCCTTATCCTTCTAGCTCTTTCATTCTCTTATTCCCACCTCATTCACCAAGAGATCTACAACTACTTTTCCACCTCGGTTTTCTTTCCAGTTTATCATTTACTTTTTGTCCTCTTCCTTTTCCTTACCCTAAACCCCATGGAAGATCCTTCAAACTGCCTTTTCTCCAAGCCCTCTATTCCCATGATGCCATGTCCTCATACTGCACCCACAGAGGAGATCCCATCCCCGAATCTGGCTATAATCTGCACCTGGATCACTGATGGCTGCGAAGCAAAACCACACTAGCAGACAGCCAGCCTGCCACAAAGTCATGGACACTAACCTCACTTGGATCCTCAGCACTCTCCACCAATCAATTTTTCTACCACCTTATTCAGCTTCCTCTTCCTTTCTCCCTCAGTGCCTAGTCCAAATCTTCACTATTTTACTCATTCCCTGCCCCTCACACCCACCCTGATTCACTGAAAAAATGAGACCACCGCCACGCACAATGACCCTTGACTTTCTGCCCTACCACTCACAATGTGTGTACATCAGCCCAAGGACAAATGGAGGGGCACCACCCACCTTGTTTTAAGCGAACCCCTCTCATAAGCATGTTTGACATACACACACTACCCTTTATTACCTGTTTGCTCTCCGGAATCTTTAGCATCTTGCC